TGGAACACCAGTGGAATATTTGGAACACCAGTGGAATATTTGGAACATGCTCCTAGGCGAATCTTGGCAGGTTTTAGTAGATGGATACAAAATCGCCCATGGTGAAAATCTAGTATTTTCTGATTTTCTTGGACTGTGTTTGAGCTATCGAGAATTGGAATACACCATTCGATAGAGCTCATCGAGTTGTACTTGGAACACACCCTGGGACTGTTGGAAGATGTTCCTGGGCGAATCTTGGCTGGATTTACTCGAATCTGGTGCTAACTTCACCTACATAATTTTTTTAGTGTTGTTATTAGGAACATTGACTGTATATTAAAAGAGCAATACAAGTATGTGAGCATTACCTTTCTCTTTCCTTCATTTTCTCTAGGTGAAATCGTATGCACATAGCCAACAAATCATCGGAGCAACAAGGATACATAGGTAGTTTATAAGAACAAGCAGCCGTAATCGGTTTCATCCTTGTTTAAGGGGCTCATCAGACGGCAAGTTCAAATTCATCATTATCTAAAGATAACAATGAAACTGCAATCGACCCCTATGAAATAGAAGAGATACAGTGTTAAGTATGGCTACTTTATAAGAACAAGCAGTCATGACCAGTTTCGTCGTTATCTTAGGATAATGATGAATTTGAACATGCCGTCTGATGAGTCCCTTAAGCAAAGACGAAGCCGGTCACGGCTGCTTGTTCATATTAACTCTAACGAGGGAACCTATTCAACTGTCCAATCGCTTTTGAGTTCGAACTCAGTTTGAAAGATAGACCCCAGTGAGGTATGAAAAGGCCCAAAAGGATAAGTGCCCATAGGCCTTCCGTCCAGAGTTATAGGCATTTTACTAGATTTTTAGCCTATGGCACAGTATATACCAAAAAATCGAATGACAATATTTCGAGCTGAGATTTCGTCCAACGATAGGTCTATGTACCAATAGAATGCCCTGAAAATTTCAGCTCAAAAGAATGTTTCAATCTCGGGATATTAAACTCCCAAAAATCACGCATATCCCGCGAATGATGCTAGAATTTTTTGGCTTTTGGGTGTTCAATATCTCGAGATTGGAACATTCTTTTGAGCTGAAATTTTCAGGGCATTCTATTGGTACATAGACCTATCTTTGGACATAATCTCAGCTCGAAATATTGTCATTCGATTTTTTGGTATATACTGTGCCATAGGCTAAAAATCTAGTAAAATGCCTATAACTCTGGACGGAAGGCCTATGGGCACTTATCCTTTTGGGCCTTTTCATACCTCACTGGGGTCTATCTTTCAAACTGAGTTCGAACTCAAAAGCGATTGGACAGTTGAATAGGTTCCCTCGTAAGTTGAATCAATTATCACAAAATTTTGATAAAAATAATGATCAAAAAAAAAAAATGTTCAGAAACACAATGTAAATGATTCGTTATAAGCGAACAAAATTTTTGATAATAAAAATTTTATTATCATTATATAGCGGATCTTACAAAAGAGATTTCAAAAGGTACTCAACCGCTTCAACAAACAATTGATAATCTATGAAAACAGCAACAAGCATTACTCGAAGTAATACATGATTTACCGAAAAAATTTCATGCTATTCAACAATCTCAACTACAAACAGATTTAATTAAAGAACTTTCTCCAAAACTTGATCCAATAACTCAATCAATTAAAGCTATTAAAGATAGATTTTTTTTTCCTTTAATTTGTCTAATTGAATAATGACTAGAAGCAGTACAAAAACAAGAGAAAACTATTGACTATGTATAAAATAAATTGGTATGAAGTTAATTTTTCTTTTCATTAATAATGAAACTTTTGATAAATAATACGATATGATTTGAAAAATAACATTCATATTTTTATTTTTAAATACAAATATTTTACAGTTGATAAGTAAAAACGAAAAACAAATTGAGAAAAGAAAATAAGTAGTCAGTTATATTATAATTATCTTTAACACACATTTGTCATATATAACAAAAAAAAAAAAAAAAATTAAAACCACAAACGAAATCGTGATATGTCAACATCTATTCGACTATGAGGAAAGCGAGTTTGAACCATTAACCGATAAGGTTCAACTTTTTTGGGATCAGTTTTACCATAAACATTGAGAAAGGTAAATTCTTTTAAGTTCTCCTTCAATTGACAAAGATCTTGTTCAAAGACGGTCACATGTTGAGCTAAAAAAAAAAAAAGAATTATATTATAAGTGTATTGTCTCGTACAAAATCATTGTATTTCAATGTATATATATACCAATGGATTTGATTGTTTGTAAAGACTTCAACCATCGTTGATATGAAGACGTATATTCATATTTTTCTCCATAATCCGGTCGAACTTAAATATAGAAAAAGGCAATGCAACAGTATGACATGATACAATAGAGAAAAATTTCAATTAGAAACAGTTTTCTATCTCTTTCTTTAAGCAAATAGATTATTTTAAGAGATCTCCTTTTCTGTTATTTTAAAAAACTATCGTTTTATATTTTTATGTTCGACTGAACAACTTTTGTTATATAATTTGGTTTAGTGAAAAGTCAAATTAACTGTCAGTTTTGCTAAATACAGTTTCAAAATAACAATATCTAAAGATTCGGAACAAATGCTTGAGAAAAAAAATCGATCTTTTACAATTCATTTCATTGCTTGCTTAGTTCAGTAGAAGAAAATAAATATGCTACCAACAAAGATTTCATTCTTATGATTTTCTTCTAATTCAAAGATATGAAACCGATTACAATTTTGAACTGAAACTAAACTAATGTTAAAACCAACCAAATAAACCAATCTGAGAAAGATCTCTATTAATTCACATAATTTGAATTTTTTTTAAACATAACTGATTATTGAAATTTTTCAAATTAATCTATAAAGATGAATAAGACGCAATATCTTTAACTAAGTTCAACATAAAAAAAAAAAGAAAATGAATTTGATCAAATATTACATCGATCGTTTAGAATTTGACTAATGTACAAATGCAATTGAAGTTTTCAAAGAATCTGATCTTATTATCCAAGTATGGAGTCTATACTACATTATTATTTATATCTCCTCGGGTAAAATAAGCTATACATCACATTTTTTCCATTATTTCTCTATATCATTGTGATTTGACCTCATATTTATACCACGTATACATCTTTGATTGCTTAACATACTCTGAAAATTTCAGCCGTATAGAATGAGAATTTATTGAGAAAATTACAAATATGTCTCATGTGCTTAGATAGGGGTATAAAGAAAATTCGTTGTTTTCTTTCTGTATTTTGTTTGTTTTCTGTTGTCAATAACATCAACCTTCGATGAATAAATCCGCCTCTATGTGTTTTTTCTAAACATTTTACGAAGTAATCTGCCCCGAAAAGCCTGTAACAGTGCAATCACAATTCGGAAAACGTAATTTATGCGTCAAGGGGGCCCCCCACCTTAGAAAAAGTCAATTTTGATCAAATGTGTCAATTTTGTGATCTATAGCTCGTTAGATAGAGCAAAGTGTCTACTCTCGAATGCACTGTAGTTTATTGATTTTATGATGAGATTTAAGGATGTTACATAGGTTTTTCTGGACCATCATATAGGAAAAAAACGCTTTTTTTTTTTCTGAAAAATTTTAGTTTTTACGTTTCCATGCATTCCAGATTTCTCCGTCATTTTAAATGCTAAACAGCTCGGCTTGATGTCAGAATGAAGGCAAAAATTAATTCTACAACTTAACAGAGCTGGATTTTTCGATTTCCCCATTAATGTTTATAAAAATCTAACTGTTATGGATCTACTCTACCTAGGTTTTCTGTATTTCATCAAAGAAGTTTTCTAGGAACACAGGCTAGGAGGAAATTGAACGATCGGCCCCTGTTAAGTTGTAGAAGTAATTTTTGTCTTCATTTTGACACCAACCCGAACTTTCTAGCATTTAAAATGGTGGAGAAATTTGGGGCAATGAAAACCTAAATTTTGACCCATATTCTATCTTTATCATGTTGTTCGATGGTATAACGGATATAAAGATAATTATAGTTTGCATCATCTATCGTGACATGTCTCATATGAGGATAAATTAATGTACATCGATAAGAGCTTCGATTGTCATCTAATATATTCAGGTTTAATCTTAGTTTTAATTAATAATAGGAAGGCTAATTAAAAAATAATTGTTTTGCGTTTTTCTCAAAACTGATTTTTTTTTGTTTTTTGCTAATGATCGAACTGCGAACAAATTTTTTTTCAATATACTTCAACCTAGAGAGCTGTATTTTTTTTTCATCGATAGATACATGCATAGTCTTTCAGATGAAGGAAATGGAATTTTCTAATTGGTCATCAATGCTAAAGAAACCTTAGGTTTTCCAGAAAACCATGCGTCGGATTTTGAGATTTTGAGATTTCGATGATCTTTAAAATGCAACAAAGTAAAAATTAAAAAAAAAACGCTTTCCCTCCCCAGGCAGACAAACTTTTTGAAAAACGCGTTTGAACGCATAGAAATTGGCCTAAAATCAGCAAAAAGTGGACGTTTTTGGCTCACACTTGAGGTTCCCGACTGTGAGCCAAAAACACCCATTTTTTGCCCTTTTTGTGCGTTTAAACGCGTTTTCAGGCAAAAAACGCGTTTGCATGCATACAAAAAAGAGAAAAAGTAGCCGTTTTTTCATACTCGAGATACACGACCACGATTACAGTCACGTTTCTTGAGCTGGAAAAGCACAACAACTTTCTTCTCTTTTTTGTGTGCGTGTAAACCCGTTTTTTGTCTGAAAACGCTTTTAAACGCACAAAAAGGGCGAAAAATGGGCGTTTTTGGCTCACAGTCGGGAACCTCAAGTGTGAGCCAAAAACGCCCACTTTTTGCTGATTTTAGGCCAATTTCTGTGCGTTTAAACGCGTTTTCTCAAAAGTTTGTCTGCTTGGGTCATGCGAAGCAGTAATGAGTTCTCTTTCAAATAAAACAAGCTCGAACTCTGCAGCTTGAAATATATTAGAAAAAAATTTGTACGCGTGAAAGCCCTGTTTTACAGCTTGGTCCCTCGATATCTCCTGAATGGTAAGGTATAGAGACGTAAAATTTTTTTTACTAATGTACTTTCATGAGCCCAGCATCTATGCAAAGTTTCATCAATATCTCATGTACCTTGTCCAAGTTAGATTTTTGAGGTGGGGGGGGGGGGGGGGGGGGGTCCCCTTAAAGATTGATGTTCTTGAAAATAGAAAAGAAAGAAAATACAGCAAGAAAACAACGAATTTTCTTTACACTGCTACATGAGTACATGAGACATATTTGTAATTTTCTCAATAAATTCTCATTGTATATGACTGAAATTTTCAGAGTATGTTAAGCAATCAAAGATGTATACGTGGTATAAATATGAGGTCAAATCACAAATGGTATGGAGAAATAATGGAAAAAATATGGTGTACAGCTTGTTTTGCCAGCGGGGGGGGGGAGGGGGATATATTGTTTAGTGAAACAAAACAAGGCAAAAATTGAATAAGGCTGATACAAAAAAAAAAAAGATCTTTTCATTCAATTGCAGCTATATATCATTATAAAAATATTTGCTCAGGCTAGCTGAATGATATCACCATCTGACTCTTGAATTATACTCGAAAGTTTCGATACTTTATTCGGGTATTACTTATTATATGTGTCATTGATGATAAAAACCAGCAATCTTCATCTCACTCTGTTAATTGATTATTCTACTGCAAATATTTATCGAATTTGATTTCTTTAATTATTTGTGTAAAACCTGAAAGAGATTGGAAAACGGAAGTCAGAGTCTAGTTTTTATAATCAAGTCAATTTGGGTAAAATATAAAGTGCTGACACATACATATATATATGGGGGTTAGAAGCTTGACTGATACCCCGTTTTGATA